TTTACTGTATATTGAAATATGGAAGTATCTTTGAGTTGCCCTTCTGTAACCGGTAGCTTCTATGCCCATAATAAGCTGTGAATGGTGGGTTATGCTTCAGCAGAGCTGCTGCTTAGTGCTGGCCTGTAAGCTGAAAGTCTAATTTTCATAGGTTTTTTTTTACGTTTTCATTTCCATTTCATTGCAGCACACATTTTCAGATAGTCACCTCACTGTGCATGTATTCTTCCATTTTGCAATCCTTAGTATCTCCTTAGATTTACAAATGGGAATTTTCAGTGTTTGTCCAGGTGTAATTATGTGTAAGAGAGCAGGTCTCTTTTGTTCCTGGAGGAATCTATTTGCTAATTATAGGATAAACACAATCAGTTACAGATTATTTTTCATCTATTTTTAGTTTATTTTCTTTGCTCCTGGGTTGAAGGAGCAGTGCTAGCAAATATTGTTGCCTTGTTTCATTCAAAGAATTTTTAGTGTTTCTCTGTCTTCTTCTTTACATTTTAATAGGGATCCTTCTCTGTACATCTGTGGTCAGCAGCACTGTTCTTGAACATGGGGTTTCTGCTGAGCCTGTCCCAGTGGGAAGGTCAGCTCTGGGATCCTGAATGCTGGGAACATTCTGTTTGGGCCTGCCTGGCTGAAGGTGAAGATTCCTTCATTCTCTCAGCTCTCCTAGCTCTGGCAGAGGCATATTGTGTAACAGCCTTGTGCCTCTTCCTGATACTCTATAAATGAGTAACTAATGTCTAAAAATACGGTTTTCAGTTAATGCAGAAATTCCTTGTTTAATGTGATACATACTCAATGCTGCACTCATAGGAATATTATTACTTTCAGACTGTTAGTATTATAATAAATTTAGGTGTGGAGTTTTAAACTGTACTATTACTAAAATTATTTAGTGACTGAGCATGTAATAAAATACCTTGTTAGGTGAAAAATCTGCATCGAAGTAGGGATGTTTTCCTTCTCCTGAGACAGTCTGAGTTTCAGACACCATGTAAGTCTTTTAAGTCTCCTAAAGCAGAGTTCAGCACAGAGCTATGTCTGTATTAAACATGAGTAGCTTACTTTGATCATTTCAGAGAGATCACAGAGGAGCATAACCTCTCCTCTTCCTTATTCAAATCTGCAGGCACTCATAGACAGAAGTTACAGAAATCCCAAATTGAAGTTTTAAATTCCACCATCTTTCCCTTTGTCTTTTAAATGCTACATCCTTGGAATTTTTCTGTCTACAGAAGATTCTGATCTTGGGAGATTTTCCTTTATTAATTATTTTGGAGAAGTTTCTATCCAGCCCTGGATTCTTGGTTCACTTTCCCAATGTGCAGGTGGTTCTCTGTCTTGGACTTGGAGAAGACTCTACATCCAAAGAATTCACTTTCTAATGATGATGTACCAAGAACTGCACAGTAGCTCTTCTCTTCAGAATACAGATAACTATTAAAAAGATGTCTCAATTCTGTGAGATATTCAATTAGTTAAAATGAATGAAATTAGGCTTCAAGTCAGAACCTTCATTAATTCCCATTTATGAGACAGAATATTTAAAATCTCAGTTAACTGGGGAGTTGTAATTGGAAGTTCCACAAGAGCTTAGGAGAATAGTAAGTTAAAAACTGTGACATGTCACAGGTTGTTGTGGGAAAAATCCCATCTTCTTGAAATTATAAAGTTACAATGACTGCAGTGGAAATAGGGGATTTGGGATTTTGTCTTGTTCTTATATTTCATGTGGAAAATGAAAGTTCCTTAGAAGCATAAATCTTAAATAGTTAATCTTAGGCTGTTAGTTAATGATATGATATTATGGTAGCATCTGTAGGCAGCATCCTTATTTCTGAGGTTATTCTGGTTAATTACATCATATTTCAGCACTATCAAACCCCATAGGTTGCTTAAAAATAAAATAGTATAATTGGAAATGTGATGTGCATTAAGATTGCAAAGTCTCTTTGCATTGGGTAAATGCAATGAAATAATGTAGATTTTAGAGACTTCACTAAAACTAAACCTTTAGTTGTCAGGATTATGATGTTTTGACTTAAGAGCAGAATATTTCTTTGTTCTAATTCTGATGCAGAACTGAAGTTTGTGTCCAAGAATCTGATGACAGCTGCTTGTCAAAATCAGATTTTGGGGAAGGACCTGGTGGAAATTAATTTCAAAAAAATTAATGTTCAAAAATTTTTCAAAAAAGTGGAAAAAGTAGATGAAGCAGTTAATTTTTTCTTCATGGTTTTTGGTTGCTTCAAAGGCATTTTAATAATTACTTCTTCTTACTGGGGCCCTTTGACATTTTTCTCCTATATAGGCAGTGCCCACTAATAAATTTCATATTTTTATTTAAACCAAATTATCCAATACTTGCTGATTTGTAGTTCTGTGGATCAACTTTTTTAGAAAAGTTTCAGTTTTTTCATCTCTTCTGTTTTAATCAGGCAATTATTGGTTTACCAGTTTACTTTCCCCCTTATGCTTTTTGGGTGAATACCATCTGTTCTTAATAAATTTTCAGTAATTTTATACCCTTTGGTTTATGATATCTTCTGATATTCAGTTGAACACAGATCCTTCAACACTTCCCCTGTTAGAAATGGTTCCAGCAGGATGACAAACCTTATGATTCTTCTGTAATAAAACAAACACAAGGAAAGTTCATGGGGATTTTCTACTGGAGATTAAATATTTTCTTACACTGACCATATATTTTCCAAGCAGAGACTGCCTTCCTGCTCTGAATGTGTTTGAAATGGATTTATTATAAGCTCAAATATGTTTAGGAAGTTGATTATGAGAAACTTTGCTGTTCTTCCTTCATATTTTTGTATTGAATTTCAGAGAGGATTTTTGCTGCTTGTTTTCCCTATTTTACTGTAACTTCAACTTCTTTCAGAATCTCAAAAGAAGTGTGTTTTTATTTCTTACAACTTCCTGGACTTCTCAATCTGTGTCAGTTTTGGAAGCAGTTTCTTTTCTCCAGTGTGTTGGTTTCTCAGTACTTATTTTAAAATAACTCGTTTGGATTAATTCATTGCTATTTTCAGCAAATTATTTGCTATAATGCTTCTCACAACAGAGGGTCCCCAGGCACTCTGATAATTTGATGTTCATTTTTCAGCCTAGATTTTTTTAAAGAAAATTAGAAGTGTTTTTATATAGTATGAAGAAATCATAAATCAAATTTCTCATTTGGAATTCTGCACATCTGCTTCTAATCAGAGCTGGCCCATCAAAACCAGGAATAATGCAGCACTTAGGAAAGCTACAGAGACAAGACATTAGGCATCTATAAACTGATAGATCTGGGAAACAAATAGACTTCTGATGCTGATTAACCAGTGGATGATTCTAGTCAGTCATATAAAATATTAATTTAAGTGTTTAAAGTAATTTCTATTAATTTGGTACTTAGTAGCTGATTGACTTCTTTATAGAGAGCATAATTTTTTTTTCCAACTGAATTCTGTATCTGCCATTGTACACTCCTCAGGTTAGTTTTTATATTTGAATTCTGTGACTAGAGCTGTTTTAAACTGGTAAGCGGATTGTAATGGTTCGTTAAACATTTTTCAGTGATTTCTGTGACTTCTTGAATTTTCCTGTCCACTGAAACTGAGTAATGGGCTAGGATTGTTTTCACTCAGCTCCTAACTAATCCCATCTAACAGCTCTCAGAAGAGTGGTGAGCAGTACAGACAAAGGGCAGAGAGCTGCAAGTCCCAGGTCAGCTTTTCCCAAAGGAAACGTATGGCTGAACTGTTCAGGAGCACTGACCTTTAAAGGAATACTCAGGCTGCACTTGCAGAAATCCTGTCTTCCAGAGTAATTTCAGAATTCCTCACAAATACTACATTCAGATTGAAAAGTGGATCTTCTGATCCTTGTGGCTCCTTCCTTCCCCTGGTTCTGCCCTTCGCTTTGGTTTTCCCTGGCTGTAACCTCAGTACCTTGCTCAGGATGTCTCTCCCCCTGATGGCAATCCTGCTGCTGCTGCTTTGACTTATCTTGAGTTTCCATAAATCCTTAACATCCTCTGGCAACTCTTTAAAAACAGTATCTGTCTTCTCATCTTGGAAAAGTGAAGGTGAAGGAAAGGTTAGTAATTTTAGTTTGGTAATTTTTTAAGAGCAAGAAAAAGCATGTCTGTCATACCATAGGAAAATGAGTCCTGTTCATTCTTCAGCATAACAAGGGCATGGAAAAACAGTTTCTGATGAAATCTTCAGGTTAGAGTAGTTCTCAGCAGTTTCTCTTAGGTCCTGTACTTGCATAATGTCAGAACTTGTTTTCCCAAAAACAAACATTCACTTTCCCCACAGCACAAGCTCCCGTGGTTTTCATGTTATATTTGTTGCATTGGTAAAGTTCTGTCATTACTCACCTGAGCAGAATTATCCTTGATTTAGGTGAAGGGAAATTGCATCCATCTCTTTTCAGGCTGATTGGAAAATAATAATTTACAACTACATCATCTGTGTAGGGTTGACAGTGACCTGTGGGGGTTTTTAGAAAAGCCTGAAAGCACGGGAGTGGTTACAGTTTTACTCCCTATATGGTTTTAGCCTGAGTAGTGTTACTTAGAGAAACATGGAATGGCTTTGGCTCAAAGAGACCTCAAGTTCATCCCATTCCACGCCCTGCCATGGGCAGGGACACCTTCCACTAGCCCAGCTTGCCCCAAGCCCTGTCCAGCCTGGCCTTGGGCACTGCCAGGGATCCAGGGGCAGCCACAGTTGCTCTGGGCACCCTGGGCCAGGGCCTGCCCCCCTTCCCAGGGAGGAATTTTGTCCCAGTATCCCATCTAACCCTGCCCTCTGGCCATGGGAAGGCACTTGTCCTGTCCCTCCAGTTCCTGATGGAATGTATCTCTTCAACTTCCTTGTTAGGTCCCCTCAGACAGTGGAAGGAAGTGTCCTGAATAGCTCATTGATGAGAACACAGTTTGGTGATGCCTGTATGCATTTTAAATACAGTTTGACTTTTCTTTTTTCTAGGCCTACTCTGTCTATGATGAGGACATTGGCTACTGCCAGGGACAGTCCTTCCTTGCAGCTGTGCTTCTACTTCATGTGAGTTAATTGCAAAATGAAAGCTTTGATATTTGAAACCAACTCAGCTGTAAAATCAGTAGTACTGCAGCCATGCTGTTTGACAGATATTTACTGTTATTTATTTGCCTGTATTAATTTTCTTCTTGTTGCTTTTTGGCCGTAGAGATTAATGGCTTCTATCTTCATGAATGTAGATTTCCTTTTATCTGGGAGAAATCTATTCAGTTCTCAAGTACTTCTGTGTCAAAACCTGGAAACTATTTGTTACATATTAATTTTTTCTTTTAATTTAGTTGTCACCTAAGTGAGCTCCCTTTGTGTTTATGATGAATTTAACTCTAGGAGACATTCTCAGAGCAGCTCATCAAAGCAAGTAGTCTCAATAATTTTTTGGGAGATTTTTTCTCCTAGGGACATTTTGTAATATCTTCTGAGGGAAAGCTGATTTTTAACCTTGATATTTTAGCCTGTAATCAAAAAATGCACAATTTTTGATCTGTTGTTTCCTTTATAAACACGTGGGTATATGTCCAGAGATAGATAAATAAATACAGTTTTTATAGGTACAAGATGCTTTACATCTGATGTCTCAGTGGAAAAGCAGCCGATTCAAATATTGTATTTATTGAGATAAAGTCTATCTGAATAAGCCACCCCAAAGCTCAACCACAATTATTACTCAAGCTCTTGCCTGCTTTTTCTCTCAGGTTTTAATTAGTAAATTATCAGTCAGGATTGAACTACCTTTTGAAGTGTGGGTTTGAGAAAGCTGCTGGTGTTATGTATGTTACACATGCACTTCGTAAGGTATTTGGAACTCAAATTCAGATTAAGTTGTGATTCCTAGAGAGAGTTGTGACTCCTTGAAGTCTTGAGAAACATGATACACAGCGACAGTGTGGCAGAGAACCTTTAGCTCTTATAACAATAAACCTGAATTAGTCCCATTATTGCAGTCTAACAAATACTGTAAAATAGCTTATCTAACAGTTATTTTGCAAATAATTTTTTACCCAAAGCAGAATTTTGAAGTTCCAATGGAAAAATGAGCCATTTTCAATACCAGAGTTGTTTAAAAATGTGTGGGTGTCACATTCTTAACATGTGACTAATACCTCAGCTCCTCTACCTTAGTTCTGTGCTGTCGTTACTACAAAGAATCAGCTCTGGTTTTAGGGTTTCTGGAGCTGGAAGAAGTTGCCCTGTACAGAGGGACTGCTAAATGGAAATCACACTCGTTTTAATCTGCCCTTTATAACATGGTTTGGTTTCATCAGAGGATACTGAAGTGAAATGAAGTGGGGGGAGGGGGGAAGCAAGGAGTCTCAATGAGCCCATGTGATTGGGGAGCTTCCTAAGATGCCCTCAAATTTCATTTGTTACAGTCTAGTGCTTCCAAAAGAAAGCGTGTTTTTAATGTGATGGAAAGGTTGATCTGGGTTCTGTTTGTGCCTGTCATTATTGTGGTACCTGAAGGCACAGGAGAAAATGATGTGGAGGTTTTGTGACATGGGGCTTCCCACCAATTCAGCATTCAGTGGGCTTAAGCCAACAAATAGAAGTGTAGAGTGTCCCAGACAGCTTGTGTTAGTACCACCTTCCAAACCATTGCTGAAAGAAATTTTGGTCAGAATAAAACAGAGATTATGGATATAGAGCTTCTGAAAAAATCAGCGTGTTAATAGATGGGGTTGTGGGAAACCTGACTTCAAAGTTTGATGTCTTGAGATTTGGATGAGCACTGCTCTCCCTAGAGCTTAGTTCTCCTGAATTTTTCCCATTTAACCAACTATCTCTCTGTAGACATCACTCTCTTCAGTTGTTGCCTTTTTATTTTATTTTCATTCTTTTTTTTTATTATTTTTAAATTGTTTTTATGTCCCTGAGAGCTGTGTACTGGTTGTTCTCATACCTATTTAACAGAAATAATGCTGCTGACAGTTGTGCTGCTGTAGGGATGCAGACGTACATGAACCTGTGATATGATCCCACATTTTCTTCAAAGAAGACCTTACAGAGCCAAATCCAGGTGCTCATCAAGGAGAGTAGTCTCACTGAGATTTTAGTTGGTTAATCTGGCATTTACAGTACTTGGCTGAAAATTTTAATACACCCCTGGTTCTGAATTCATTGTGCATAAGGTGTTTCAGTGTGTGTGTGTCTGTGTAAGGCATGTCTCGCCTTTGCTCCATTATTAACCTTATTTTTGTGTATTTTTCCAAACAGATGCCAGAAGAGCAGGCATTCTGTGTATTTGTGAAAATAATGTATGATTATGGCTTGAGGGACCTCTACAGAAATAACTTTGAAGATCTCCATTGCAAATTTTTCCAACTGGAGAAGTTAATTCAGGTGGGGCCAGAGTAACAAACTCTTCTCTGATTTGTTTCATAAATGGACATAGTAACATGAAGAAGAGATTAATGCTTTGCTTCCAAAAGCTATTGGACAATAAAACCCCCTCTCCTTTTAGAGGTGGGGTAAAGCAAAGCACGGAAATTTAATAGCTGAATTCAAACATCATGAGTCAGATTTGTTTCTAGTTTCTTTTGTCTCTGATATACCACTTCTGCAGCTAATCTTTGTACCCAAGCAGAGCAGATACTTGCCTTTTTCCCCCTCCTCTCTGTTTGCTTGCTCCCTCTCTATTTCTGACGTTGTTTAGAGAGAATGTCCCCGTGCTGTTGAGGCCAGTGTATCCTTTGGAGTGTCTCCATCACTGTCCTACTTTCCTTGAATTATGTGGGTGTTAAGAGGTCAGGCAAATCAGGACATCCTGATGCTTATGAAATACCAATCAAGTGTGGACCACTGGGCAGGTTTTACTGTCTCTTCTGAGATTGCTCTTTTTTCAGGTGAAATCATTTCATCAAGCAGTTTCACATAACTGAAGGGCTGCAAATGTTATACGTTGTTGTTCTGACTGATAAGGAATTACTGACAGTTCATTAAGCCCTGCCCTTCTGTTGGCACAGTGAAAAGCTGCTTGCTGAAGTCAGTTTTCACAGATAACCATAGACAACTCCGTGGGATATACTGAAACCAAACAAAACACACTATTGTTAATTTAATGGTATTTTTTCAGATGTCAAATTGTGCATATATCACACTTGATAGAATGGAATTGCATACTAATTGTCGTTCTTCAGCATATGGTCTTCTCAATATTTACTTATGTCCACAAAGATTTTTGTTAACAAACAAAACAGATTTTACTAACAAATATACTCTTAACAAATCTACTTTATTAAATGGCTGTGTCATCACTGTTCAGTAGGATTTTTGGTGCTTGTTTTGTGTTGCTTGTATGTGCTCCTGTTTAGAGAAATGGTCTCATGGAGTTGTGTGTTCTGCTGCTTTCAAGCTCTGCAAAGTGATCTGGCTCCAGCAGTCATTGGTTTTTTTTGTGGTAGAAGCATTTTTAGCAAGACACAGCAAAGGAATAACTTAAAAATATACACCATGACATAGATTTTACAACTGCTTTTGACTGTTGAAGATTCTGTAATTTCTCAGTATAGTCTCAGTGTGTTCTTTGATACTGTGATAGAATCCACTGTGGATATCTTACTAAAAACTGTAACCACGGGCACTGAAATTTATCAAGAAATATCTTCATTGCTCAAAAGAAGACAGGTTTTCACTTTGTTGTGTATTTTGGTATTGAGCAACCCTGGTCCTTACTGGAAGTATGGATGAAGAACTCAAATTAATGAGTAATAACAAAACATTTATTTTTTTCCTTTATTCCAGGAGCAGTTACCAGACTTGCACAGCCATTTCTCAGACCTCAATTTGGAAGCTCACATGTATGCATCCCAGTGGTTCCTCACTCTTTTTACTGCCAAGTTTCCACTCTGCATGGTCTTCCACATCATTGACTTACTACTTTGCGAGGTAAAAAAAAATATTGAATCAGAAATTCCTTCCTCAACTCCATCAATGTTTCTTCTTTTTTTATTTCATTTTGTTGAAGTCCTTTACTGCTTAATTATAAAATGTGTGTAACTAAGTTATGTAGAAACTGTGGTTATATTGAACAGAAGATTTTCAGTGAAACACTGGTTTGGTTTTAAAATTAAAACTGTGGATTGCCTCATTTTTTGCTGAGGGCTCTAATTAATAATATCTGATGCACACACCTGTTTTTCATTTAATTTGCTAAATGATTTTTCAGAGTTAGGAATTGTAATTTGTTGAAGACACCTAATAAGGAAAGCTCTCCAAGTGGCCTGATTCATAGTGCCCACAGACAGAAATGGTGGTGCATGTTGCTTTGGTGGCCAGATATTAAACAAAGAGTGAGAAGGACTAAACACACAACTAAAGGAAACTCCTTCTTTTTGTTTTTTTTCCCTGCTATTCTAACTAGGAGCACACTACTCCAGATATAAAATGGTGTGTGTCTGTGCTGTAGATGTATCTACACTTTCTTTTAAAATCCAGTCAGAATAGGTTAATAATCTAGAATATTTATTTTTGTAAAACACCAGTCCTTCCTTTGGTAAATGGCATGTCAGAGCATTCATAGCATTACACCTGCTTTTAAACCTGTCACTAATTTCCTCTCCAGTTTCAAGGGGTGACAAACATGCAAATAAATAGATAAAATATTTGATCATTTTAAATGGTGAAGGCTTCACAAGTAAGAAGCACTGTTGACTCCAGTTCATTTTGTTAGTTTTTATTGTGAAGTATTTTCTCTGGGAATTTTCAGGATTGCTGCACATGCCTTGGTAGGATTCAGTCCTTGAGACTGTTTCTTACTCTGCATATTGGTGCTCAGTTATCAAAGCAAGGTAGGGTAATACTGCAATGTTTATCTCAATGTGTCTGCAGCAATGATGGTGGGAAAGAAAGTGAAAATCCAAGGTGAAATCCAAGGAGAAAGTAAGAGAGTGCAATATTGGAACATGCTAGGGAAAGGGAAACTTGTTAGTGTTTGTGGAGGGTGATCACACACAGCTAAAAGAGCCTCTTTTAATACAGCTAAAAATTAACCAGAAAGAGTAAGAAAACTTATTTCAAGTGAGAAGATACATGCAGACATCTTGAGAAAGAGTGGGGCAGCCTGGAGACAACATCCTGAGGCACCATTGGGCTATCAGAAAAATGCTCCTAAGATTCAGGAGTCAACAACTCTCAAGTAATAGGCAGTTCTGAGAATTTGAGGAAGGGGCATAGATTAAAGTTACATTAAAATAAAAATCTAGTTGGCCCTCACTGTAGACAGCAAGTCAGTCAATTCTGTAGGTGTATGGCCACAGGTAGGACCAGGAAGAAGCCGTTCCTTGACAGAGAACTGAAATTGTGTGTTCAGTCAGCCTCTGGAAGGAGTTGTGAGGGAAATCAAAACATAATTTTTTCCTGCATTAAATTGTTCCTTACTTTATCTCTGAACAACCAGCATGCTGGTAATTCTGGCAACTGGAAGGAGAAAAAACAGTGGCAGCTGCTAACACTGAAACATATTCTGCAGAAAAAATCCTCAGAAAAGCAAGAAGCCTTTGAAGTGGATTGTCTTAAGTTTTTAAAAACAAGTTTCCAGCCTTCTCCTTAATTTATCATAGATACAGATGAATTTTAAATACCCTTCAAGTTCCTGACTTGTGCTTTCTCCACATCCTTGTCCTGTCTGTGGTTACAAAATGTTCACATTCTATGCAACTCTTATAGGAAAGAAAAAAATAGGGGAAGAAAACCATTTAAAACTATTGCTGAATGCATCCTGCCAACTAATAATTTTAAGGGAGCCTCTCTGGTCACCTTGAAAATATTTGAAATATGGGTGAACAATTTGTGTTTTAGAACAGCTGATCTCTAGAGAGGTCCCTTCCACCCCTAACCATTCAGTGATTCCATGTCAAGCAAGAGTTTTTGTATTGGCTTGGGTTTTTGACTTTTGATTGTGGCTGGAAGAGTGAAATTAGTCCTTACAGATATTCAGCTTTCAATCCAGAGAGGAAAAATAGCAGTTGGATATGCTGTAATTTTCTAGCTAACCAGGGAGGCACATTTTCCTTCACTGCACACTGAAGTTCCTGCACAGTGGAACAGTGGCAAAAGCTGAGGATGGAACTTCTGGACAGAAGCATAACTATGAAAAAGGAGCTAAAGTTATGATGGGAATTAAGTTTTATGGAGAATTTTTTGAAATCCCATCAAAGTGAGTGTCATTACAGTCAAGGTCTTCTCATCAATCTCACATGAGGTATTGCTTCAGAGCAGTTTTATGTAAATTCGCACAAATTTGGGATTTGCCATGGCTTCTGTGTGACTAAGTTATTTTATTCTGTTGTCTTATTAACACCTAATTTTTTTTATTTTTATTTTTTGAGTTGTCACCAGGCTGTTGAAGATGTGAATAAACCCTCCAAATTACTTCAGTTTCCAGTGGTCTTAGAATATTGCCATGGTAGTTCTGGGGCAGAATCTGTCACCCATCCCCATGTAGAAATGAAATATTTGGGAATTCTTTCTTCCCTGTGAGAGAAGGTTGAAGAGAATTTTGGGCTTCCAGGCAGGTACCTCACCACAGTGCTGTGGAATATCTTATAAGGCTCAGCTGCTTGAAATAAAAACACAAACCTCTTGATCCAGGTGAAAGTTTTAATGTGATTTCAGCAAACTGTGTGGGTTGGAGCCTGGAGATCTTTCTACAATGTTCCTTTGAGCTGCCTGTTGCAGCTGTTTCATTTGTCTTTTCCCCTTTGCTATTTCTGTTTGTATTGAAGAACGTTTTTGTTGATGAAATGCAGAGTTGTATTTGGACTTGTCAGTCTTACCTGTCAATATGACATGATGTTATTGAACACTTTGCAAGCCTGCTCTGTTTTGCTGTCTCTTTTTGTTCTATTCTAAATTATTTATTTAAAGTCATGCTCAGAAATAGCAATTCATCTAGGTAAAGCTCTTGTCACTCAGATCTGTCCTCAGTGCAACAGCTGCACCTTGGCTGTGCTACAGAATATCAAACAGTTGACATTTCACTTCATTTTACATTTTTAAACTATTCCATTTTAAATTAAAATGTTTGTTTTAAAAACACTAAATGAATGACCTTCAGTAGGCATTTAGAAGAGAAAAACAACCCAAAGCAGTTGGCAGGTAATCTGTGTTTTTTAAATTGTCATGATTTTTGTTTTGCTTTAGGAAGAAAATTCTTTAACTTTTGTGATACATACAGTACTGCCAAAACTAAAGGAGGTGCAGAGCTCAAGCTGTCATTCCATTATTAGCTGAGAATTTTGAAACACTATGGGTAACCACCATTTTAGGTTGATCTGGCTATTTTTGTGTGCAGTTTTGGGGGATATAAAATACTTAAGGATAGTGCTTCTCTCCTTTTAGGGAATATGCAAAAACCTCTCCTACATGCTGCCCTTCCTGGACTGGCACAGATAGTTGTTTATTTTATTGTCATAATACATAATTTGACTATGTAATTTGACTACAAAGTTAACAGTTTGGCTACTAAGCTGCCATCCTGACTGAATCACGATTGGATACAAAGGGGTACAGCTGATTTATCAGTTTTGAAAATGAAATTATTTAATATTCCCTAATACAGCTAATAGCAAAGGCGGAAAGTACTTTTCACAGGACCACACAGCACAGTGCAAGAAGGGGGATTTGAAAGCTAGGATACCATCACTCCTTGGCCTTTATTTATCAACTGTTGCTTTCAGAATATTGTGTCAAATATTTTTTATAATCAATTTTGAGAAATTTTCTGTTATAATGAAGATAATGATACAATAATAGTGAAGGCTGATGGTGTCTTTAAAAATCTTTTATAATGTGAACAACGTGGTGCTGTAAGTGAAGGCTTACTGATAGTTAAAAAATGGCACCACATTGTGGAGATACGGTTATTGGGAGCACTCCTTCCAAATGGAACATTGAAAATCAGAGCAGAATTACAAGTATTGACACTGCAGATTTGATTTCTGTCTTGTGTGTGTCTTGCTGGGGATGGATGTGCCAGGAAACGCCGTATGGTACCGCTCAGGGCTGGCCGGCACCGCGCTAGTGCTGACTGAGGAGGAGAGACCATAATAGCCTGCTATTTTTTATCTGTCACTGTCAGATACTTCTGTGATGCCTTCAACAGAGTTGAGAAAGAACAGATTAACATTTCAATTTATTAAACTTCCTCAGGAATTGAGTCAAGAACAAGCCCACTTCCTCTGTAAATCTGCACTGAGATGAAATGAGAATTAAATAAAAGATTGTGTGCAGTTGTTTATCTTTTGAAGATCTATAGGGAAAGAAAAATTGAACTTTTTGGACTCACTTTTATTGCCATGTTGTCTACATTTGTTAACCTTTCCAGTTACAAATATTTTAAGAAATCACACAAAACAGAAAAATGGACTTGCTAGAAATAAAATCTCTTAGAGTAACAGCATATTAGAAGCTGGGCTTAAATTCTAAGTAGGCATAGGTCAGTGCTGGAGCTGTCTGCCTTATTTCAGTACTATTTACCAGAGAGAAGTCAATGTCATACATGTTAGCTGGAAAAGGCCAGGAGCTGTCTGTTTGTTTTCCTTTTAGGAATACAGGCAAATAAATTCTGGCATTTAGACTGTGTATTTCCTCCTGCCCAATCCCTTTGCATCAGGCCTGATGGAGAGCTAAGTCTTGCTGAAGTCCTTATCAGCCACTGCTGTTTCATGTAAAGAGACTGGAAAGGTTTTCTTTCCCAGACTGCTATAATTAGCTTTTAATTAATTTAGAAGAAGGAGAATAGGTTTTCTCAGACTCCAGATGGATGACTAGAATTTGAATGTGGATGTCCAATTGCTGGTTTGCTGCATTCAAGCATCTGTTGACATGTCAAGAATCATGGTCTTTTTTGTTACAGAACAGGGAGTTGTTTTGTTGCAGAGTGGTTT